ATGCATATCAACCCGAGCCGGACTCCTTATTGGGATATTTTTTGTTGTAGGCTGTATTGGTGGACCCTCAGATTCAGGGGGTGGCTATGCAATAGTTCGTCGACCCCCCTCAATACTGACTTGACCCCCTTCAATACTCTTCTGAGCCCCCCCCCCCCCCCCCCAATGCATATGAGCAAAAGGGAAATACTGGATAAATGAAACGCAGCAAACGTTGAACTGCTGGTGCGTTAGGTAACTTACCGTATCACTATCAACATTATTGGTAGCATGTATAATCACTACCACTATGTCAGCTTCAGATAGAAAGTCATTGTTCAGTATCAGGAAAGTTGGTCAATATCAAAGCTGATCAAACATTATTCAGTTTTGAATTTGATGTCACGGACGCAAGTGAAAGTGACCGCAATCCGGGGAGCGATCAGGATTTGAGATAAGTTAGGTCAACTGTATTGGTTCAGATCTCCCCCCCCCCCCCCACACACACACACTTCAACCGATTCAGGAGGGTAACAGCCTTGATCCAGTAACATCCGCTGTGCGATGCAGTCCTCTGCATACGGTAGGCGAGCCAAAAATAGCACCATTTTTTAAACAAAGAAACGCTGGGCGGCTGCTTGGTGAAGCAGGCAAATCGCAAAGAAAGGCCTACAACTCTTGGTCCTCTGGCAATGCGAGTTTGAAGGACAAGAACAACCGAACTTCACGACACCGTGAGGTCAAGAATGCAGGCAGGGGGCAGGGGACACGTGCCCCCCCCCCTCAGTTTCCGGGGGATATTCGAGCCCCTCGGAACCCACGATTAAGGGCCCGAAGGGCCAGCCGGAGGTCGCATTCAGCGACCCCGACCCGCAGGGCCGGGCACTCCGTCGCCAGGCAGAGGACCATGCGCGCTGATTGGGGGGGCACCCTGAGCCGACAATGGCCTATACATTGATCAGACACCATCAGTAACGCACAGTCGACTCAGTGGCGGCATGGGCCTGAGGGCCCATTTCCCAAGCAGGGGCAAAGCCAGATCCAGCAATTTACATCGGTCGGGGCCCCAGCGTCTGTCAGGGCCCCATAGCCACTGACGGGGGCCCTGCGTTCGCAAGGGGGTCCGAGTCAGCCAGAGGCAATATTTGAGGAGAACCTGGGAGCCTAGAAAGAACACCAGGTCCGACGATCAATGACCCGATTGGACGGTCTAAGGGCATACAGGACTGGTCAGGGTCTTACTCAAGGACACGGCCAGCGGGGACGGACACTCAGATAACATAACTTAAAGAAATAACATAAATAATAAATAACAAATAACAAATAAATAACTTAAATAAATAACAATCAGAGGGTCCTTAGCGCCGACCGAGGATCCACGGAGTCGATGTGGGCCTATATGTCGGTTGCGCACCACCAGTGCCGCACAGTCGGCTCCGTGTCAGTATCGGTCTGAGGGCCTTCTTCCCAATTGGCCCTGTATTATCTGGGGTCCACAGCGCCTAACAGAGGGTCCCGTGCTCGCGGCGGCCCTAGCCGACCAAGGAAAGTGTTCGATGAAGCCCGAAGAGAGGTCCGGGCGCCCCCTGGAAACCGACGAACAAAGTCCCAGTTGGAGGGCATAAGGGCCCGAAGGACTGGCTCGTAGGTCACATAAAGAATCACGGCCTTTTGGGTCGTGACCTAAAATATTAGTCAGAGGTTCTCTTGCACCGTCTGAGAAACTCCTGAGATAAAGCGGGTGTCTTAATTGGTCAGACACCGCGAACTTCGAACAGTCGCTCCAAGTCCGCTTGAGCCCTTGGGAGTCATTTCCCGAACAGGAACGAGGCCGGAGGCCGCGATTTCCAATGTTCGGGGCCCCTCACACAAAGAGGGGCCTCTGTGTCGGTCAGAGGCTACAGTGCCTAACAGGGTTCTTGTGGCGGCAAACAGCCCCGAGTAGGAGCGATGTTTTAGGGAGCCTGAAGAGGGGCCGAAGGGTCTTCGAGATAAAACATCAAGGGCTTGATTGGAGGGCTGTAGGTCCGAAGAGAAGGCTGTAGGTCATATTAAGGCCGTAACCTCAAATGTCAGAAAGAAGGCCCCTTGCCCCGGTAGGAACAGTCGGCCCTATGTCAGTCTGAGTTCTGGGGGCCTATTTACCAAGCAGGGGCAAGGCCGGCCCCGCGATATGCGTTGGTCGGGGCTCCTGTATCGTTCAGGGGCCCACAATGCCTAGCAGGGTGTTATGTTTCAACAAGGGGACGATTTGTTAACAGGAACGGGGATGTGAGTCCGAAGAGAGGGCCTCTTGCGTTGGTCGGGCCTTCCGACAATGAAAGGAAACATGGGAACTTATAACGAGTGCTCGCATTGGGCAATGGAAGGTCCTTCGCCAGGCAGGCCCCCAGTACCAAACGGTGGGCCCGCCAGCCCAATTCCAGCATGGGCCCATTAAGCCGAACTAGAATCTATGCGTCAATCATTTGACCACCTGTGGCCACCAAGGATATTGTGGCATCAATGAGGGTTCCTACGTCGATCCAGGGTCGACTACGCGGCTCAGAATGCGTCCCGCGACAGGGAGCGGACCAACGTGAATGATGCCTCTCTCTGAGGGCTTCCGGATCGGCTAGGGGATCCCGCCTCGTGTCGCCAGAATGACGGTCAAAAGACACACCGCGGTGGGACAGAACAGCCGTTCACCCCTTGACCGGGAACAACAATGCGCCCCGTAGTGTTCGACTCGAACGGCCCTTTTCTCGGAAAGAAATATGGAGTCTCGTTAGTGTTGAAAAGAGTAGGTCGAAATGAGTTTAAGAAAAACGCACAAAACCATTCCATGCTTGCTTGGAAACGTTCATTCTTTTGCAAAATAGACTAGTGAAGCGAGTATTATCACAAGGTTTGAGCGCGCGTGTCGGGTGCCGATAGTGTGGTGGTTAACACCTCCGCGTTAACCGCTGCGCGTCTGGCTAACCAGAGGTACGGGCTTCGATTCTCCGTGGTGCCCGCCATTCCTCCCAGAGCAAGAGGCAGGCGGCGCCATATAGCTTCAGCAGCTGCGCACGTCGCAAAGCCCCAATGGCTCGCCCGCAGTCTCGGGGAGCAAGGACAGCAATGGCCTGGATCGCAATTTCCGTAGCGCCGAACGGCGTTGGCAGCTGCAAGTAAGACCAGGCGGCGGGCGCCGTGCGCGCAACGACCATCGTAAAATTATGTGTATGAATGTCTTTCAAAATTAATTCGTACAGTTTACACGGATTAGACAGGATTAATCTTTTTACAACTTTGAAATTGTTCTCTAGACAGGTAGACAGTCTAGGCGAACGAAAGTAGAAATTCTAGCTTTAGCCCCCCAATTCCACGACCAGATTCCAGTACCACTTCACAATGTTATAAAGGTCAATCCGCTATTATCCTTAACCTAAAAATCGCATGAAATACACGTCCAGAATGTCTCTGAATGTACGGCTTTATGTCATAAGGCGTTGAAAGGTAAATCTTTCAAATGCACTATCACTTTTGTCCGTTGTTGGCCACAGCTCTATATTAGCCGAGAGGCGGACGCTACGCTGCTCATGGAGACTGCGACGCTTGGCGTCGAGGTTTTTGTTGCTAATGCGGGCGCACATGCTCAAAACTACGTTACGCAACTTGCATCACAAATCTATTCTGCTTTTATGTTGAACTTTTCAAGAGGTTAGGCCATGTTAATACAACGTGTTGATCCATTTCGATCTTCAGTCTACACTCGCCTTGTCCTTGTCCTTGTCCTCACACAGTCCTTGGTATCTCGGCACAACTCAGATACAAATTCTGACAAAGTTTCCGAGTTACATCGGCGTAAAAGGGTCACTGGAACTTTGCAAAAATGAAGAGCGCCGACGATTTATTTCATGCAATCGTTTAACGCATAACTTTTTCGGTTTAACAATAAATTTGATGCAGAATTGACCTCGTGTTGGCTTCTGGCTTTTCTTACAATTATGTAGCGTACTGCCTATATAAGGTGGTATATAAGACAAGGTATTATCAGTGCATAATAATATTTACATATCTGCTCATATATATATATATATATATATATATATATATATATATATATATATATATTCCATATATATATATATATATAATATGTATAAACATTGCATTATATATAGCAAAGAAAACATACCCGGTTAACAAATAGGCCATATCTGCCGATTTCTCTTTTTAGGAGGCCTTTTGCTATTAGGGGCCCTTTGCCAACCCTGTGCCCCCCCCCCCCTTGCCAAGGCTCTGGCTGCGTGCTTGCATAAGGTACCCGTTAAACGATAATAATAAGAAATGATGGAGATAAATTACGAAAATAACCAACAAATTCCTATTATTTTCATTTCTTAGAATTGTTAGGTGCAATAAAGCAAGTGATTTTCGGCATAAACACTCATAATGCTGATGAGATGTCCAAATCAAAACTGCTGTCGCATTGTAGTGTGGACAAAGGGTGTATCTCTGACTAAGCAGTCGGTGACCCAACAAGGCACGTACGGAACACTGCCCCCTCAGCTGGTAAATGGCACTAAACAGCAAAAAACCGCAAAAACAGCCTACTTTGTGCTTGTATCTGGGCACCCAGCCAGCAGCACTTTGCTTTCGTATCACTAAAGCAGGCGACCTACAGTGAAACATCGCGGTGTCGACAGTTTTGTTAAGCGGGACCATTTGCTACCATCGGTACATTCGCCTTGGATGCACCTTGAACGCGATGCACTAACCATGAACACGATGTACTAGCCCTGAAAACGATACACCAACCCCGAACACGATAACCGTCGACAATTGGCTTAGAAGCCTGCTAGAGGGTATGAATGATGAGTGTTTGGCCACCCAAGCCCAGAACGAGCAGGCTTAACATAGCTAAACAATGGTAATACTTCATCACACTGTCTCTTGTGAAGGCTAGCAGGCTCAGGTTAGCACCAGCCACCCTGAGAGCGCAACTAGAGAGAGGGGCGGGCGGCCATACGATGCGGCCCGTCCGGCGCACGCACCTGTCTGTTGGCGGTGACCTCATGTCTGGTGAGCACGAGCCGCTCCTCGGCCATGGCGCTGCCGTCCGCCGCCGCAGCCGCCTGTTGAGTGAGCGCGCCGCCGACGCCGCCCGTGTATTGATCACTGAGCGCCGGGCCGGCGGCCGACCCGCTCCGCTCCGACCCACTCAGGGCTCGTCCCCGACCTAGGGTCCGACCGTTGCTCACTGCCGCTCACTGGCGCACACTACAGCTCACCGACTGCGCCTCCAACAACAGGCGGTTGAGCTAGGCTGCGGCCGAAGCACATGGAGTTAAGCCGCACGAATCCGAGCGATGAGCTCACGAAGAAAAACAAGGCACGTGACTGAGCGCCTAGCAGTCTTCGCACCAATGACTGTCACAAACAGCACCTGTGTGTGGCACACGCACGGTCCCTTACATTGCGAAAGGGTGCGATCTAGGGGACGGGACTCTGCACTGGGTCCACGCGTATCAACGCAACAGGTCGGCGGGCGGCCGGGCAGCTCCGCAGGCCGAGCTGGCTCGCCGCCGGACAGCCGGGGTCACCCGGCGCCGCAGGGCGCCCAATCTGGCCGCACGCCCCACCGACGCGTCCGTCACACAGCCACAATTGCTGCCATCGATCACCTGCGGCCCGGCGCCGCACTGACGGCAGCCGGCCGCTGCCCGTACTGGCGCGGCGGCCTTGTCCGTGGCGACGTCAGGGCCGCAGACTCGCCACGCGTGCCGCCCCCTCCCATTGGTCCGCCCCGACCGAAGTCCACTCGCCGACCCTGGCGGGCTTCCAGTGACCGTGGACTGTTTCGGAGGCCGTTGCTGCTGATCATTTCGACACCTGTGGATGGAGACTGGAGGCTCTGGACTGGTGCCTGTTGCGGTGACCGACGACGGCGCCCGCTAGAGACGGTCGACGTGCGGCTCAGAGGTCCGTGGTGACGGTGTGATTTTCTGTACTTGTCTTGCGCAGATACCATTGGAATCTGAGGCTGGACGACAAATAGGTGATAGCAAATCGGCAACAGAGTCAGCTGAGAGCGAGTTCGCGCCGCCAATCGCACTATTCAGTGATTCCGATATCACTTAGCATGCTGCAAGCACCGAGCTCTTTCACTGGGGGGAGGGGGCGGGGAAAGGGATAAGGCCAAGTGCCATACAGTATGATTATAACCTGTGGGGTCGCATGAAAAGACACGAATAAAAAATATTGGTTTCGTCGTAACTGTTAACACGCGGTGGGATATATCGAAAAGCAAAACTCCGAGAGCTCCAGAAATCTTCCCTGAAGCTACAGCTATCGTGCAGGAAAAACAGCTACCACTCGGCATTGCCGCGTTTCTATGGCCTGCTCAAGGCGAACGAGTGGTGACGGCGCGGACGGGCCAGACGGCCGCGCTTCGGACGGTGGCTGGCGCACCGCCAACCCACCCAGCCTCCTGACAATTCGCAGACCACGCCAGTCTTCCCCCTCCCGAATCGCGTCTCCTGTTTGTGATGATCTTCTCAGCGGCCAGGCCGCCCCGCACTGGATCGAACGGGACATAACAGGTCTCATCGAGCTCGCGGTCTGGGAATTCACTGGCCCAGGCGCTTCACCAAGCATCACCAGGCAATGGCCTCAGGGCTTGACCGGCATCGGATGCAACTGTGGCTACCCAGTTTTATAAGATTTTGCAATCTGCATTCGAGGATTGCTCGCTGTACTTAACTGTTAGGTTACCAAGTGAGAGTAACCTATTCCGATGCATATTAAGCCTCCCCTTTTAAAGACGACTCCGTCTTAGCACTTTTTTCTGAAAATCTGTCCAGACTACAGCTGGGACCCAGAAATTAACTTACTTGAGGGAACATCGAATCAGCAGTAGATTCCAGCCACTCGCCGTGCTTTTATTGACCCAGCAGTGATCTTAAGCCCTCTATCCATGCTCGGCCATTTGGCGGAGCCTGTTGGGACGACCGGCAGCGTCGCTTTGATCCCGGCACGTTGAACTCGGTCGGCGCCTCGGCCGGGTCGCATCGATTCGGCCGATCTCATTAGCGGCACCATTACGAGCGGGCGCGCCGCGCCCGACCCTGACACTGGGCGCGACGCGGCGCGGCCTGCCCACGCTTGGGTGGTTCTCGCTGTCCCAGCGCAGGCGCGGCGCTCCTCGAGACGCTTTCTCCCTCTGTCGCCGTTTTGAAAAGTGCTGGGTCGGTGGAAGCACAGATCCGGCCAAAGTCCACTAGTACCGATGTCACGCAGTGCAGCGGGAATGCTCGTCTTCGCCGAGGGCCACGCGCGGTACCCCGGCCACGCAGGCCGGTTCGACACAGGGCACAGACTACGGGCAGTGTATTTCACTTCGGTACATGATCTACGGCAGGCACGTGAGCGGACTAGCATGGGCTTGGACCGGCAGCAGTGACCATCCCCCCCTCCAACACACAGACACACACACACACACATACGGACACACTCGCATGAGCACGTCAGTCGGCTACACCGGGTCGTCACAGTCGCCACACACTGGCTTGCCGCACACAACAGGGGACGACCGGCGTGCAGCAAGCGGTACACTACACCGCGCCCGGAGCCAAGAGGAATGCGCACGAGAACCGATCTCTCAGATGAGAAAAAATAACGCAGACTGGGAAAATGGGATAATTCCTTTACTCTGTGGACTGCGTGACTGGTTTCCATCATATGTAATCGCTTGAAAATACTACTGAACGTTTGTTCCGCAATCAGAGAGGGAGTATGTTCGGTTTGCTCTCCATCCCATCATCCGATTTAACGCGATGGTGCGCCAAAATCAACAGAGCTCAGCAAGGATGCCCAAAGAGTAATAGTGTAAATGCAGCGAAATAATGGCAAGCCTACAGGCCTGTACTACTTATACGCATGTTCAACGGAGGTATTGCTGTGGCGCTAGCGCGAGAGAGTGCTTACAGAACACCACCATTGGAAGTCGGTGCCACTAGCAACACAGTGCCGAGCTTTAAGTCGAAAAGAATGGCAGACAGCCTTCGCCCACAGCGCGCTTACAATGTTCCTCGTTGGGGCCAAGATTGCAGCGAAATATTAATATCACAAAAGCCTTCAAAACCTTGCAAGAGCGCAGCCCCACAAAGCGGAAATCTCATAACCCAGTTTTTGTAGACGAAATCGAGAGGTGTAGTGTGACAGAAGTAAAGGAAATTGGATGGTAAAGTAATGGAAATTGGAAACTGAAGTCCAGGCTTCACAGAACATCGATACCGACGCCTCGCAAGAAATGCACTGACATTCAGGTTCGCGGGCGCTGTCAAGAACGTTAGCTGTGAAGTCAACGGTAGCGATGAGTTTTGAGACGTTGGACATCGCTGGGTCTCAGCACTCCAACAACCGTGTCATAAAAACGCCAACACATCAATACCTGCCATCCGGGACTGGCCGTGAATGGAAGCAGCCAGACTCAGGCAGAGCGGGGAGGCAGAGCAAGAACCCTACGACTCTTCCGCACACACATTACGTTGTTCTAGTTCGACGTGCTACACAAGAGAATATCGCTACACGCCCCTCACCTCTAATAAAATACGGCGGAGGACAGGCGCGCATGTCCCGCCGACGCCGGCCGGGCAGGGCGCCGCAGCGCCACCTCCGCCGACACCAGCCGGTCGTGCCTGAGCCGCTGCTGTCGGCCGCCGTGCCGGGGGTGTCGTGCCGGCCACTGGCCTGAGGGGACCCGGCTCCACTCGGTCACGGACCCGACTAGTCACGAGGCGGCTGGTACTGGCGCAGCATGGAGGCCACCTGCTCGCCCAGCGGCTGCGAGCTGGCGCACAGCACACGGCGAGACAGCAGGTCGAACGGCCCTCCTGTCGACACCGGACGAGGCAGGAGGTCAGGTCACCGATCGACGGGGGGGGGGGGGGGGAGCGACGGATGATCAGAGCGGTGGGCAGCAGCAGGTATGGTTCGCGCGCGCTCGACTGGTGAGGGTGAAGTCGAACGTCTCGGCAGGTGAGCGGTGTATTGCAGGTTTGTCAGATATGGCCGATTCTGCTTGCAGTTGACGTTAAACCAAATAAGTCCAACTACAGTGCAGGGCATCAATGACAGCTTCAGCAGCACATGACCAAAATGTAAGGCAGCCAACAGCCGGCACAGACAGGCAACGACACATCAGCAGCTGGTGTCCCGCAGATCTGCACCACGCCGCTGGATCAGACCCGGTCCGGCACACACAGCGCAGGGTCCACCACCAGATCCCAGTGTTATGTTGGACGTAGTGATGCCACATGTTCCATTACCCCTCCCCCCCCCCTCCCCCGGCTTGCTTCAGGCTGTTCAGCAGGGATGATAACGCGCTTCACTGGAATTCACATTTGAGTAGGCACCAGACTCTCACATTCTTTTCCAGCGTAAATGCGTAAATGAGTCGTTACATCTTTTAGATAGCGAATCATATAACCGGCCCCATCTGAAAGTTAGCCGAAAACCACGTTCGTATGACCCAGTTAGCTGTGGAAACCGCCAGGGCTGTATCCCGTGTCACCAGCCAATACCCTCACATAACCGAAAAGCCTCAGCAATGATGGCGTTATCATACACCGGGCCGTAGCCATGAGTCAAGCACCCGTAGAAAGCCGGGCCAGCGTCCGCGTCTTTATCGTGCGGAGCACGACACGAACACGGGCCTATGTCTACGTACGTCTGGAGGACGCTGGGAACTTTAAATCGCCATTTCATTTCTAACGTAACAAGTTGGTTCTGTCCAGAGGTAATAGCAGGATGTTTTCAAGTCATAATATGAGCATGTAGATGTAACGAGAACACGATAACACAACCTTATCTATAAAGAATATCTGAACATTACCGGCAATTTTACGATATCAGGGCATATGCAACGAACTCATGAACATCAGAATACAATCGACGGATTCATAAGCAGCTGGCTGAGAACTCAAAAAATGTTCCCATTAAGAAATATCAAGACGTTAACGAGGCCAGTGCATCACCTGCTATTTGTATTAAGCAAGTTATGCGTGAGGAAATCTAGGGCACAAATTCACCCCAGATTTGTGATCTCTTTGTCAAATGTCACCAGAAAGTTCTCCAAGAAGTCATCATAAAACATTTTCAAAAGTCATCACAAAATATTGCGATACGCGGAGCGTGTCGCGATGCCCACGCACCGACAGGCCGTCGTTTTACTGCCGGCGGGCGGCGGGTGGCCAGCCGGCCGGCGCCGCTGCATTAGTCCCAGAGCGCCGGCGGCGCCACATCGCGCTGATCGGTGCACCGAGCCCGTCCGCCAGTCCCCGGGATGCAGCGTGCGTCTCTCTGTGTCGCCATTTGCGACTCCCTACGTGCGTCGCCGCGTCTCCCTGTGTCTGTCGCCGCGTCTCCCTGTGTCTGTCGCCGCGTCTCCCTGTGCCTGTCGCCGCGTCTCCCTGTGTCTGTCGCCGCGTCTCCCTGTGTCTGTCGCCGCGTCTCCCTGTGCCTGTCGCCGCGTCTCCCTGTGTTTGTCGCCGCGTCTCCCTGTGCCTGTCGCCGCGTCTCCCTGTGTCTGTCGCCGCGTCTCCCTGTGTCTGTCGCCGCGTCTCCCTGTACCTGTCGCCGCGTCTCCCTGTGTTTGTCGCCGCGTCTCCCTGTGCCTGTCGCCGCGTCTCCCTGTGTCTGTCGCTGCGTCTCCCTGTGTCTGTCGCCGCGTCTCCCTGTGCCTGTCGCCGCGTCTCCCTGTGCCTGTCGCCGCGTCTCCCTGTGTCTGTCGCCGCGTCTCCCTGTGCCTGTCGCCGCGTCTCCCCGTGTCTGTCGCTGCGTCTCCCTGTGCCTGTCGCCGCGTCTCCCTGTCTGTCGCTGCGTCTCCCTGTGCCTGTCGCCGCGTCTCCCTGTGTCTGTCGCTGCGTCTCCCTGTGTCTGTCGCCGCGTCTTCATACGCGGTGTTGTGTATGTGTATGCGTGCCCATGCCCGCCAATGTCGCCAATGTTGTGCGCCTCCCCGTGCGTCTCTCCACACGTGCTCTGCGCTCCCAGTCCGAGTGTGCACTGCCGCCGCCGGCGCCGCGCTGTCTGGATGGCGCCCCGGCCAGCCGGCTCACCGCTCCGCTCCTGGCATCAGGAACACAGAACACGGACGCAAACACGTGCAGCTGTCACCGGAACACGATCGTGCGGCGGATGGTGCTGGCGGCGACAGGCCGGCGGCGCCCGGAACATGCTGGCGTCGCCTGACGCTCTCCATCTGGCCTCGGGCAGCCGGCTGGCGCGGCGTTCGATGCGGCCGAGATCGGGGCTCGCAACAACCGCGGCGTGACAGCCGGGCGAGCCGTGCTGAGACACTCAGATTCTCCCAAAATTGGAATAATGTCGGTTGGATCTCTCTTAAATTACGCTCCCATTTGTGTTTAGCATTGAACAGGGTGAAGAGAGGGCCAACTTCGAGTCATACGCTGCCAGCTAAATTCTATATTGGGAAGGATAGCGCGGACCCCGCTCAGAGTAATGCCGTCATACCTGCATGTTGGATAAAGCAAAGCTCTATGGGAGTTAATGCGCTCACACCCATCACTCCCATTATTAACCGGTTGCTCAGAACAGAGAGCATGTAACCTACGTGAGATAGCCAAGTTGGTTTGCCTGGTATTGTTTCTCTTGTGCTTCACGTATTTTCTCACGCCGGCCCAGCTTGATCGCAAGCATTCTAAGATCTACGCACCGCGCGAAGAACGAACGTGGTTCAGTGAAGCCACAGCGCGCTGGCCCTCGGCGCCACGCCGCCGGCCGGCACCCAATGTGACGCCACACCTGTATGTTTTCAACGTAGCATGAAAGCAGTCGGCCATTCCGCTCCAGATTTAACTTAACGTGGGCCGATTGGAAAGCCTGCAATTACTTCCGGCAAGTTTCCAACAATTTCGGCAACTAAACGGCAGCATGTCGACGTAAACACCCAGGAGTTAGCTGGTCGGAGGCAAACGCTTTCATGCCCCAGCTTGTACATACGCGGCAGGGCCAACTTGTGTAACTCGACCCTGCAGCAGATGCCACTTCGGCCTAGCTTTAAGGCACGCTCCCTGGGTCGAGGCGTCACGGGCCGTTAGCTGCACTCCTCCCCCCAGTGTAGTCGTGCCTCCCCCCAGTGTAGGCGATGTCTCAAGGCGGCTGGGTCCCGGGAGATCTCGGTCTCGGAGATATGGAAGGAGGAGGGAACCATGGTCGGAGATATGGAAGGAGAAGGGAGCACTAGCAGATCCAGTCTCGGAGATAAGGACGGGGGAGAGGGGAGAGGACGGGTGACTGCGGTGGCATGCAGGCCAGGAACGATGTACTTTATCGATGTGCAGCACTGCGATCGAAAAACGTATATCTGTTGGCGCTATTCATTTTCGTCTTTCTTTTTTCGCTCGTAATCAGTTCAACTACAGTTACTGCTCGCGTGCTTGCCGTCACCACCGGTGAATGCATCGCACGGTATAGACTTAGTGCTCATACCCAACGGACGTTAACGTACGCATTACATTTTTCATCGCAATAATCAAAAAAGTAGGAGCGTGACGTATATCAAGTTGCACCATCATTGGAGCCATATTTCAACGTCCCAAATTTGCTTAAAGCCCGCACAATTTGTTCGCATTCTTTCTGAAGTCCAGCAATTTCACATTTTGCCTGACTGCACACCAATAGCTTGCATTCACCTGACAAGATATGGTCTTGCCTTATCACCAGGCTCGAACGTGCTTCTACCAACATTGAGTGTCCTCAGGCCGATTATCACTGCTATTTGCGACATTTCGTTGGTCTAGTTTCACTGAAATTGATGTATCAGTTCTTATCTAGAGTGGCCACGTCCAATGAAAGTTAGAAAAGGTTCGGCCATGCACTTCGGTGACAGGGACGATAAGCTGCTGACAAGGAAGGCTTTCTCACTAACTGCTGCTACTTAAATCAAAGCTGGGAGCCACCTACCCTATGAACACATCTGTTATTATCAAAGCGTGGCAGTTAGTTGCCAAAATATCTGAGAACTAGATAATTTACGATTACGTAACATGGAAACAACGTATGGCATAATGGTTTGATAGATTTTGTTTATATAAAAGTTCTCGTGGGAAAATATCCCCGAGAGACAGGCAGTGGAAAACACCCTGGGACGTTTTGCCCCTGTAACATATGTGACTTATTTTGTGTAACGACTTCCACGAAAAAATATTTTTAACTTGCCCAAGAGCTGACATCTTAATATGCCAACGACATTCCTAAAATCCTTGATATTGATATTTCCAACCAAAAATTCCAAGTGCCGAAGGTTCGTGGCCCACTGTCTCAGGTCAGCCCGATCACTTATATAGCTCTATCATACACATGCGTATATATATATATATATATATATATATATATATATGTATGTGTATGTGTGGGTGTATGTGTATGTGTGGGTGTGTATGTGTGTATGTGTGTATGTGTGTATGTGTGTGTCGTGTGTGTGTGTGTGTGTGTGTGTGTGTGTGTGTGTGTGTGTGTGTGTGTGTGTGTGTGTGTGTGTGTGTGTGTGTGTGTGTGTGTGTGTGTGTGTGTGTGCGTGTGCGTGTGCGTGTGCGTGTGCGTGTGCGTGTGTGTGTGTGTGTGTGTGCGTGTGCGTGTGCGTGTGCGTGTGCGTGTGCGTGCGCGCGTGCGCGCGTGCGCGCGTGCGCGTGTGCGCGTGTGCGCGTGCGTGCGTGCGTGCGTGTGTATAAAGTGAAAAATGTGTATGTATTGCACGGACAATGCACCGCGTGACAGGGATTTGCAAGGAACAGAGAACGGCAGAAAATGATGTAATTTCGAAGGGATTGTACGGATTCCCCCCCCCCCCCCGAAGAAACACATTGAGCGGGCTCCAGAAATATGTGGCTCAAGGTGGACAAAAGCCAAATGATTGTGAAAATGGCCTCATCAGCGCGAAGTAAAGTTCCGATATGTGCGATACTACAACCGCGTATTTTCTGCAAAGTTAGCTGCTACAGTGCTGCTCAGATCCAAAATGCAAAACACAAATAGCTCACTTGTTGCCTCTTAAGTGAAAATATGTTTTTCCTCCTTTGGAATTACTAAGACGCAAAGCTTCCAAACTATACCGATCCTTTGGAACGTCGCACACGAAATTCGCCCAAAAATTAATGATGAAGTGAAGTCGTTCGAACTGCAGTGCAAGATAATCGCCTTCATTAAGCACCCGGTTTCTTCGACTAGCATTGAGAACTGTCTACCTTCCGACGTTAGCAATTACCACCACAGCAATAGACATCTTGAGCAACGACGAAGCCACAATAATGCTGACTTCTTTGCAACCGAAGTTAAGGTATGAGACCGCATTTCGAATCTGGACGAAATCCAGTACCATTTACGCAAGCAGTTAAAGGAAAGAGTACATTTTTGGGAACAAATCATTTGTCCTACGACTCGTGACTTACCGATCAAAAAGGATAGCATTAACGCCGCTTTTGCTTTACTATTCGACAGCGGACGTATAATGGTGGCATAGCAAAGTTAGGTAAGCCTGTCTTCAGAGGACTGCACGACCGAATGGAGCGTCCATGAGGACGTCATATCGGAACAGACTTGTGAACACGTTGCCAACAAACGGGAGGGCTGTGACCGCTAGGAACTGCGAGCCGGGCCCAAACGCGTCGCGTCTACAGAGCGTGTCGCGTCCACACATGTGTGTCGCCTGTAAAATACTTTTACTGTACCAAATGGGATGCTACTAGGGAGTGCAACTGAGGGGTGTTGGGGCGGAACTGGTCAACCCAGGACGGGAGGCTCGTCTTTGCAGGGTGCTGCATAGTCAGCCAAACGGTGCGGATCTCCAAAACCGAAAACGGATGGGGTGTTATTTTGCCAGGCACGGTGCTCCACAGTCGAAGATCTGTTATGGTGAATACTGCATGAGCAAGGCTACAAGGAAGCCATGGCTGCATGGAGCACGCATCCTCACCGATAAGTTATTAAGGAATCGTGCATGTATACTTCAAGAGACGTCGCACTGAGTCGATCATACCGGTTTCCGCAGGACCTCAGTTACAAGCGGAAGAGAGACACGATGATAGCATGCCGGAAAGGGACGTGACCATCGGATGCAACCATACCGAACGGACGTGCACATTACGAGAGGACGTAGAGATCGACTGCACAGAGCAGGCCGCTGAGCCGGACCCGGATGTGCAGACTTGGGAGCGTGCAGCGCCGCAGGAGAGTGGCGGCCTTCCGGACGGCCCCGCTCCGGGCCGGCCGCGTGCCGACGCCACGTACCGGCCGTGTCCATGACGACGGCGCCCGCCTCAGTCAGCAGCAGCGCCCCCGCCGCAATGTCCCACACGTGGATGCCGGCCTCGTGGTAGCAGTCGGCCGCGCCCGACGCAACCAGGCACATGTCGAGCGCACACGAACCGCACGAGCGGAACCTACCGGCCCACGAGCGGACTCAACACACACACACATACACAAACATCGTCGGGCAGCGCCGAGTCGAGCGGAGGGTGCCACCGACGGCGTGAGGCTGTCCCTGGAGGCGGGGCGAGGCCAGGTGGGGTGGGGTGTGGGGAGGGGACAAGAGCGGGGCGCGGAGACCGGGGCGAGACGATGCGATGCGATGGAACCCGATGCGATGCGAAGCGAGGCGAGCCGAACCGCGGTGAGGGTGGCTGAAGGCAAGCTGTCGGTGTCCATAAATTCGGTTAGCAAGCTTGACTGAGTGGGCGGAGACAACAGCAGTGGTCAGCATATTGACAAGCCAGGAGAGGTCAGTGGAGGAAGGGGAAGGAAGCAGTCCGAGCAGAAACGCCGTGACGCTTGGGCTTAAGTTCGCAGAAGCCGCCGGCGGTCAACACCGCTCCGCCGCCCAACACTAACTTGGACCAGACGCGACCCGCATTCTTCGCCGAGCACGCGCCCAAACACGGCTGGCGGGGATCAGCTTCTGTGAACTAACGGTCAGGGGTCGCCGGCGACCGGAGCGTCACAGCTGACGAGTTCCACCACCGCCGGCCGTCCAGGCGCGAGCCGGAGCTCCGCCAGCGGCGACAGAGGCCGGCCTCTCAACAGTCACCAGCCAGCCACGCTCGGTCGGCGGCTGCCGGGCTACGGCAAAAGAGAAACAGACCGACAGCCGGTCCACGACAGACGCCCGGATACAGCGACAGTGGAGGGTGGAGAGCGCGGCCCCGGGCCCGGCGCAGAGCGTCGGCGAGTGCAGATGTCGGCAGACCAGTTGAGTGGAGCAGCTGTAAGCGGCAGTTTAGGGAGCGATCAGAGAGTCTGAATAGATCTGGGAAAGTTGCCAACGCCGACCTAATCATGTTGCCGCTTCCGCGTCACTGGCTTCGCCAGGGTGAGATCAAACACGCTGGCGGAGATGCGGACAAAGCCTTTCATTTGCGACGCAAAACGACATCAGCCGACAGCGTCCTTGAGCCCGGCATAAACAACTTCTGTCACTTACAGAACGACACACCTCCCACCGACGTTTCGACTGAGAGTGCATGCCCTACCTATTACGTTGGCCCGTTATTTTGTGAGTGGAATGGTCGCTGTGTGCACGCAAAGTGCCTGCTATTCCATGGCAGCGTTTGCACCAGCCGTATCAGGGAACAGATACGCCAGGAGTGTCAGACGCGGTGATGCCCTCCCACGTGAGGATCGGACCGCATTAACCACGCCGATGACTCCCCGTACGTGCCAGCGGCCCTGTTCGGGAGCCAGCGGTCAGCCGGTGCCGCGACCCGGCGTGTCCAGGACGACAGAGTGTCTGTCTCGGTGCAGATGGCGTGCTCTGCAGCCACGTCGCAGCAGTTCACGTCCATCGCATGGCACAGCTCGCCGGCTGGCGCCCTCGCCGACGCGTAGAGCGCCGCCCAAACCGGAAGCCGGAGCCTAGCCGCGTCCGACGCACAGTCAACAGGCTAGTGAAGAGCCGTGGAGCGGCGGTCCGCACCATCAGACCGCGGGCACAGGAAACTGAAGCGTGTCGGACCAGCGGCAGGAGGAGGAGGACGGGGAGGACTATCTACGCACGGTACCGGACGGCGTCGAAACCATGACGTCAAGCGAGATGATCGAAAGGATGGTAGATGTTCATAAACATCTGATAATCTGCGCGGAGGTACGGAAAAGTGGTGTGAGGTGCCGGAAACATCGGTAGAGTCTTCAATGACCCAGCGGGGTGCTGAGCGATGTAGCGTACAGGCAGGACGGACTGGATCCCTATTGAAGCGTGGCATGACCATAGGGGTGGAGCCCGAGAGAATGGGCACGGTTCTTATTGCGGTGGAGTACCGACTGAATGCGCGGCTGCACTACCGGTGTGGGGGAGGGGGGGGGGGGGGGGGGGTATTGAGAGAAGGGGTTATGTCCCGGATGGCGGGACCAGTGTCCCAAGATGAGTCATCGCAGCCGCTGAGCGTCTGGACCCGCTCTGCCGGAGTACATGTGCTTCAGGAGCGTTAGTCCAGCCAAGATCGCCCCGCCGAAAGAGCACACCTGTCCCGCTAGCGAGCACCCCAGCGTGGTCGATGTCCCGTACCCATGCCGTATCCGCGTCCTGTACCTGAGCCAGCCCAGTGCGAAGGACGTCACAGAGTACGCGCCAGCACCTGCGACACAGAGGCGCACCCTTATCCGCATACCCTGACCCGTGTACCGTGGATCATTCCCAGTGGAGGGAGGGTGCAGACAGCACGCGTCAGCCGCTGCTGAGTGTCGCGGCACAGCCATGCGCGGTGCACACGTCGACCCGCCCCGTGGCGGGCGGGCGCTGACAGCAGGCGCCGGTACCTGCCGTGTCGAGAACGACGGCTCCTGCTTCGGTGCAGATCACATGGCCGGCCGCCACGTCCCAGCAGTGCACGCCCATCGTGTAATAGACCTCGCTGGCCCCCTCCGCCACCAGACACATGCAGAGCGCCGCCGAGCCCAGGAACCGGTACCTAGCCGGGCCGGACACACGCGCACACGGGCCGGTGAGGCATCGGCCGACGGCGGGGGCGGGGGCCCCCCACACACAGAGAGCAGAGCTGAGCTGGCCATGCAGGCGGGCGAGCGGCGAGGCTGGGGCGGGGCTGGAGCCGGGGGCGACGCCCGATATGGGACCGGCGTGTCCCACCTCTAGTCAGAAGAGGAACGCAACCAACCGGTGCACCAATATGCGGGGCCGGAAGGATGAAACGCGACGAGGTCCCCAGAGGAGGTGGGGTCCCCAGAGGAGGTGGGGTCCCCAGAGGAGGAGGTGGGTTGCCCACAGGGAACTGTCTTCTCAGAGGTGGTAGCGAGGTCCGAGGAAAGGAGACAGGTCCCAGAGGAAGTGGGGTATCTTCAGGAGGCAAGGTCCCCGGAGGAGGACGCGAAGGTCCCCAAGAGATGAGGTGAGAGACGAAGGTTCTCAGGGGAGAAGGTGGAATCTCTGGCGGAGACAGCGGAGTTTCCAGGAGAGGAGGTGGATCCCCAGAGGAGGAGGCAAGGTCCCCAGAGGAGGAGGCAGGGCCCCCAGAGGAAGGAGTGGGGTCCTCAAAAGGAGGAGGGAGTGGTGTCCCACAGAGGAGGGAGCAGTGACCTCCCCTTCCACCCCCACCCCCAGAAAAGGCGGGGTCCGAGAGGAAAAGCCCAGAAGAAACTGGCCAGTCCCATGAGGTGGAGGGGCCAGCGAAATATTGGAACTGCGTACTGAGAGGAGGCAGGGATGCGAGGGAAGGGGTGGGACGCAAAGGGAGTTGTGCCAGTGGAGGGAGCAGCTGAGGCCAAACAGGAGCCTGAGAGGACCCAGCGACCGGCACTTACAGGGCGTGGAACGACAACAATCATAAAAGACATTCAAATGAGGTAGCTGTATCAACGTCAGAACATCATAGCATTGCATCTGTCAGCATTACACATGAAGTGCAAACATAGATTCAGACAAACAGAAGATGTCCAAGATTCGTTTAACCGGCGCCTGGACGAATTTTGGCTCTATGCAACAGGCAGTGTTACATAACACAACATATGCATATGTATATATATATATATATATATGCGTTGGTTATTTGTAAAGCAGGAGGATGCGCTTATGAACTGGTGAAGTGACCGATAACCTCCAGCGCAGTCTACTCAACGGACGCCACTTACCCGTGTGCTTTGGCTACCAGGGCTTGGGCGTTGTGGAAGACACAGTCCATCTTCTCGGGGATGGGACTGGTGCCCATCTCGCCGATCACCAGCGCCTTGCTTAGATCTGCCGGCGGCGTCAGGATCGTGTCAGTGGCGCCACAGACGGACCATCGAACGGCGTCACCTGCCGGGGCGGCCGCAGCTAGACCTGTACAAGGGGACGGCTCACAGCCGCACCAAAGACGGACCCTCGAATGGGGTCACCCGTGGGGGCGGCCACAGCCTGACCCGTACAAGGGGACGGCCCACAGCCGCACCAAAGACGGACCCTCGAACGGGGTCACCCGTGGGGGCGGCCACAGCCTGACCCGTACAAGGGGACAGCCCACAACCGCACCAAAGACGGACCCTCGAATGGGGGTCACCTGCTGGGGCGGCCACAGCCTGACCCGTACAAGGGGACAGCCCACAACCGCACCAAAGACGGACCCTCGAACGGGGTCACCCGTGGGGGCGGCCACAGCCTGACCCGTACAAGGGACAGCCCACAGCCGCGCCCCATACGGACCAACGCTGTTGTCTCGCACTCGGTACGTCATTACCTACGACCAATGCCTCCGCATCGTTTGCCATGCCACATGGCAAGGTATGGCCAAACCAGCCAGATAAATACAGCGCTCCGATTACCAGTCTCTCCGGAGGCGGATATTCTCTCGTCGTTTAAGAACGCTCCGCAACCTTTGCGGGCATGGTACATGTGGTCCAAGATGGGGTTGTAAATGACGCCCACCACCGGCTCTTTATTGACGGTCAGGCCTGAAACGGAACAGTGCGGGCAATGAGTTCACATCTGCAAACGTGACCGCAGTTACAAGCTGGAGGCGCGGCATGATCAGGATGCCGACGATAATGACTTGGGCGACATCGAGACTTCCAGACCAAACTGTCGTGAATTGCTGGCACACGTTCGTAATGGCGTATTTTTGGCGCGGCTGCATAACTGGACTATGCCATTCTCAGTGTACGGCGCCACATCCACTTGCCGCAAACACTGAAGATAATGAATCAAGGTCACCCCACGTCAGCTACCTACAGGCCTATGAAAACCAAGCCAATGAAATATGTAAGATAGATGAGGTGGAGATGGATGGATTAATTGACAGGACAGATATATACATAAATGCATGCCTTATATATATATATATATATATATATATATAAACATATCCATATACAAGGCATATCTCCCTCGCCCTCTCCCTCTTCCTCTCTTACTATTCCGTCATCGTCTTCTTCGTTTTCCGCAGCTATACGGAAGGACTATAGCACTACACAATAATACGTCTTCCGCAGCCATGAATCCGGATGGCGGCGCGCGCCATCATGTCATGGTTCCACCACCGCCGCCGGCCGCCGGTGGTCTCACCGATGGAGACGCACACGAACGGGAAGCTGTGCACGAAGTTCATGGTGCCGTCTACCGGGTCTATGATCCAGGTGGGGGCGTCGGTGAGCTCCACCTTCTCTCCAGCCGCCACCGATTCTTCGCCGATGAACCTGCGGCGGGGCGTAGCCGGCGCGTCACACGGCGGCGCCGGCCAGCAGGCCCGGCCGGGGCACCGCGCTGCGTGGGACCACCACGGAAACAAACAACACGGGGACGGGCATCGGCCTCCGGTGTGCCCAGCGCCATGCTCGACACCCCTATAAGGATTATTCGAAGTAAACGTACCTGTGGTCACTGAACGTCTTCCGCAGCTCCGAGAATATAAACTTTTCTACAGCCTGGTCGGTTTCGGTCACAAGGTCCACCGGTGACGATTTCAGCATGACATTTTTCTTCTTCTTGAATGCATCTTTGATCATCTGAGTGGTCCAGGTTCAGAAAGGAGGCCAGTGAGAGAAGACGAAGTTGGATCCCGAATCAACACCGCTAACAGATCAAACAACCTTTGATGACCTTCAAAAAGCCCAGTAGTTATAACATATGCATGAATGGCAGCCATTTAGTATGCCATGATAATATTTTAATAAATTAGACAAATTTTGCAACCACAATGACACAGCAATAGGCAGCAAGATCAGCAAATAGCTAGAGATAAATGTAAAAGTTTCTTTCTTACCACTCCAGCTTCGCGGGCCAGCCTCTGCCCTGTTTGCAGGCACAACTCCAAATCAATCCCAGCCATTCTAGCGCGATTCCGCAGTCAGGGCACTGTGAATACCTGGAAAATTGGTTGTCAAAAAAGTTGATAATGGCCAACAGCATGCAGACTGAGCTATCTGTTTATGACCCCAATGTGTCAAAACTCAGGCACCAAAGAGCAGACTCATCCCAAAGATGAGTCTGGCTGAGATTTAGACAAGATCAATGAAACAGACAGTACACTCAGCCTTAGGCTCAAGCCTACAGTATCAAAGATCAGACACCATCTAAAAATTCTGATAACAGGCCACTTTAACACTGAATCAAGCCAAAACAAATTTGGGCTTAATTCTGACTGAGCCATGTTGACTCCAGAAAAATTGAAAATTTACTCACAGCAGGGCATGATTGAAAGTGAATACACGTGTGAAAAATGACAAAAGAGATGGAACAGCAATAACATGAATGTCAGTAATGCAGGGTTCCAATATGCAGCCACTTGGGTGGCAGGATCAGCATTGAACTGGGTGGCTGTCAACCCAGTATCTAAGCACCTCAGGCTTGACAAATGGACTGGGCATGTCAGATGTCTGGGCTCAGGGTCAAGGTGCATCAGATTCACACAAACAAAGTGGATTCAAGGCCACTGAGGGCTAGGAAGGATTCTGGTAGCATGAATTCTGAATTCATGTTTATATCTTGCACACCCTACTGGTTAAGCTTTGAAACACTGCAGTAATGTATCACTCTTGATAATATATCACTGTCAACCAGTCTGTAACCATCTCTCAGCCAATCATTACCACATTATCATGAAGGTTAAAAATTGGTTGCCGGGCGATGTTTGTAACTTTGTACATCAAAATATTCAGGCAATGCAAAGAAGCACACTAAATACGCATCAGAACATGATACTTTTCAGCAATGCACAGCCTTGCATTTGATAATCAAACTAATTATGCATGTCAATCAATTATAAGCATCAAGTGCTGATGAAGCACTCGTATAGTTGGAAATAGCAGCTAATGACCACATCAGCAATGCAGCTCTGGGGTGTGGCAGAGGCCTGTCACCATTATTCACAATGCATGTGTAGGTAGTGAAAAGCACACCAATGTATGCAAATTAACTGCAAGTCCTCTTAAATGGCACTTTTGATTTGACATCATTCTCACACACTTTGGGCACCAAGACTGAAATTCTAATCTCAGCAGTATGCATTTTTGCATGCTGGGGCCCATGGGCACCTTAAAGATACCAATGCTGTTCCCAGTAATTGACTGGTTAACTACATATACTGAAAATACTAAAAACAATATACTCAAATGAATCTTAACCATTTCTTCCTACTTTCTTACATTTGCTGTACAGGTTATGTTAGTATGCAAGCATGGATCACACAGGGGCAGAGCCGAGCACACCAGACACAAAAAATGAACCCATGATAGATCAGGTCCCTGTTCTTTCAGCTCGAGAGCAGGCAAAACCTAGGTGTTACCGAGAATCTCTGGCCAGGCTCTTGTCCCCTTGCCTTGCCGACTGGCACATTTAACATGGAAGTAAAACTGTAGCAACATAATTGTATGAGTTCTGAAGAATTGTTTCATTTACCTTGCCTTACAAAAGCATCCACAAGTACTGAACCTGTATGGGAACTGCGTGCCCTGTACTGTTGTACCAATTACTTCAAACGCCGGGTATTACAATGTCAGAAATTGAGCATGTCTCACATGCGCCAAAATGACAGCTTTTGTTAGCTAGTGGAGTGTAATGCGATGCCACGAAATTAAAACAGGCTTCAAACTACGCCAGGTAAAGCGAGTAACACCTTGCGACGCGAACAAGATGTTTCTGAAATTGTATTCTTCGCACTGCATGCATATGGGGTGAAGCGTGTTGCCGCATAACACCGTAAATTTTATGTCATTATGCCATATAAATACGTGTGTGTTTGTGTGT